TCACGTCTTTGAGACGTCTCAAAGCATTTCGTAGAATATACTGTAAAGTGAATTGACTATATTTGTGGGCGAAACACGGCACACAATTGCACACAGCAGTGCCCCACAAACATTCATAGATTCAGTGACCAAATTATTATTATTATTTATTTTTGAAGGGATCATTTCCCCTGGAAAAACGATCCACCAATCAACTAACAACCGAGATACTGCCCCCTCCCCACACACAGGGACAGAGGCTTCTAGACCTAAAGCCGGGTCCACACACCAACCACAGGATCCCAGACACTAACTTTGGTGATTCATGTTAAAAAATTGCACTGGGCTGAAAGTCTTGCAAAAGTTGATGAACACAACGTGGGTGGGTTTCCCCTCAACCTTATGATATTCTGCAATGTCATACAGAGCCATAACCTGTCCCACACATGCCTCAAGAGAAAGGAAGCCAGCCTGCTCCTTCCCGATCAAACCGCAAGCCTCCAATGCGTGTGATATATGTGCAGTGGCTTCCCGAAACACCAATTTAAGAGCCACAGAAATCAGCAATATCCCTCTGTATTGGTTTCAGTGGAGTCACCCTTGTAGATAGACACCTAAATTGCACTCTGGAACACTGATGGGGTGCATGCCTCAGAGAGAATACTGTTGACCAGTGCTAGGAGTGCAGCTCTAAGGTGAGTTGGGGGTTCCTGGCTTGGGACAGCGGGATGGAGTTCCAGAGGGTAGGGGCAGATTGGCAGAAGGCCTGCCCGACTGGTGGGCCGGGCGAGGCGGGGGACGTGAAGCAGGCTGGAGCCCACTGAGTGGAGGGAGCGGGCAGGTTGGTAGAGGGTTAGGAGGTCACAGTGGTAGAAGGGAACAAGGCCATGGAGGGCTTTCAAAGTGACGACCAGGATCTTGAACTGTATCCTCTGTGTGATGGGAAGCCCATGGAGTTGGGCGAGGATGTGAGTGATAGGGTCACGGAGCCTGGGAGAGGACATGGGCTGCAGAGTTCTGGATGATCTGCAGCCTATGGAGGGAGGAGTTAGGGAGGTCGATAAGTAGGGAGTTGAATGCGTGTATGCGTGTCTCGGTATCCAGCAGTTTGAGACAGTGGCGGAGCCAAGCAATGTTGCGGAGTTGGGGGAAGATGGAGTGGGTCATGGCACGGATGTGGACCTGGAAGATCATCACCGTTCTCCATCTCCATCCTCAAAGCAGCTTTTAGGAATTCAGCATTGATGCTGTCAGCTTCAGTTTCTTTACAACCTCAGCTGCAGAAGCAAGAAAGTCACTGGCTACATCGTCAAGTCTGCACTCAGTCCTCACACAGAATCGGTCCCAGGCTTCATGTTCGGCAATACCCCTCGCAGGCTGGACTTGGTACAATCACTCATAGCACAAGGCACATCGACGGTTCCAACCCGACAATCATCCCATGTCACAAGGTCAGCTCTCCCTAGAAGACCAAGGGCTGCCCTCTTAACACTGAAGGCGACTGGCCAGTGGTCAGAGGTTTCCCAGCGACGTCAAACAATGCATTTGTTCCATTCTGCACAACAGTTACTTTACATAAAGCAGTGTCCCAGAAACAGCCATGAAGTGAATGGCCAATTGTATCTGGGAATTATTTCTCACGACATTGAAGCTCTCTTCTCTTTTCGAATAGTGCCATAGATTCTTTAATGTCTGCTTGAACAGGCCAACGGGATCTCAGTTTAACATCTCATCCTAAGGACGGCACTTCTGACAATGAGATCACAGCCTAGACTATGAGTTAAAAGTTCCAACATGGGATTTGAACTTACAACCTTTGGACTGCAAAGGGAGAGTGCTACCAATTGAGCTCCTCTGAAGCATAAAACCATGAATAATTCTCTAATTAAACATTTAATGGTATCAATTGAGTCACTGGAGAGCAAGCATTTTTTCACCTTTAATTTGGTCATTGAGTTAACATCTCTAGTATTGATTTCCTGTTCAATCTGCAGTGTAAGAATCTTTCCTGCCACACAAGTAAATTACATTGCAGTATTACAAAGAGGAAACTGTTTTAAATGCAGAACTTGTACTTTCACTGAATGAAAGTATTACAAAGAGGAAACTGTTTTAAATGCAGAACTTGTACTTTAATAATAATATTCCTTGCATTTAATATAACGCTTTTCACGTCGGAAGGACGTCCCAAAGCGCTTCACAGAACTCACTGTAAAGTGAATTGACTGTATTTTTTGTGGGCGAACGCGGCAGCCAATTGCGCACAGCAATGTCCCACAAACAGTCGTAGATTGAAAATGACCAATTTATTATTGTTTTTGGTTTTGGAGGGATTATTATTAGGCTCTGTGTGGAGTAAGGAAACTTGCCCAAGGTTTCGCTCTGCCTGGAATTGAACTCAGGTCTCTCGCTTGCAAAGCGAGTGCTCTAACCACTGAGCTACAGGACTCCATATATATGTTAAAATTGTGAAGTGTGATGTAAGAGTCAGAGACAAATAGAGTCATAGAAATGAAAGATGGGGAGAAAGTCAGAGAGAAAGAGTCAGGGAGAGAATGGCAGAAAGATTATTACCGTGCAGTAGAGTAGTCAAAGGCAACTCCCGATAGACAGTTAGTTAATAATGTGAAGCTCTCCTTCCTTCCATTCTGGGCTTCAAAACAATAATTGAACCCAAAGATTTCTAGACCACCATTGTCCTTAGGATTGAAAAATTATCAAATCTGTCATAAAATATTGCATTATTTTTCACCCCACCAATAACATTACAAATAAAAGTAAACCTGTTAAGGTTCCCACTGCATTCATGGTGAATAAAAGAGCATTCAAGTGTATCATCTAAAAGTGTTGGATTAGAATTTGTGATTGATTTTTCTCCACTCTGTGACCAGACTGCTCTATCCTTCTAGCTACAGTTCATACAAAACGTTGCAGGTTTAAATCTTAGTCTGTGCGTGCCACTACAATTGGTCTCGGTATCTTTGGTATTCCAGTATTCCTGTCCCCCATTTGCTTGGGTCGAATAGCCCGGCAACACTCAGTGTCAATATTTTCACATCAATAATGGGTATTTGGGCAACACACTGGGGGGTGAGTGGGAAATCAATAACAACAAAATATATTTTAAGATAGTTAACTGCTAAATTAACTAAAGTAGCTGGAGATTTGCCCTGCTGTGTAGGTAATTTTTAAATACTGGAACATACTATTCTTTGAACATGCACCTTTTCTATCATTTTGTTGGTTAGAGATGATCAACGGTACAAACCTTTACCTGTCCAGCACCCTGGGACATCCTTCCGACGTAAAACGCGCTATATAAATATAATTTGTTGATATTTATATATACTATATTTTTACTTGGCCGTTTCTATAACAACAACTTGCGTTTATATAGTGACCTTCACGCAGGGTAGCGTCCCGGAGTGCTTGACAGTGGTGGAGTCTGCCACCGAGCCAGAGGGAGAGGGAGGGGTAAGGTGACCGTAAGCACGATCAAAAAGGAAGGTCTTTAGAATTTTCTAAATTGTACATTTTCACTTGCAATGCATCCTGACTAGTTTGACGGATTAGCAGATATGCTTTTTGAACAATGCTTTTTCTTGTCATGAATGGATAGTTTGGTTATAGATCACAGGTAACAGTTGAGTGCAAATTTAGGCCATTGTAGACACATCTTTTAAAATGACACTACTTCTGAAAAGCTAAAAGTTAAGGAGAAATTGCATAATGGTCAGATTTAGATTTAATGGGGATTTAGACTTATTTGCATATTTTAACATTCTGTTACAGAATCAGTAAGGTTCTTTACAGGGAGGGAAGGAAAATCCCTGGGACAGTCACTGCTGAACGCCTTAACAAATACCTGGTATACGTTTGTATGGTCTCATATAATAGCTTTTTCAAGCTAGGTGTTGGGTATGGCGAAGTGGGACTCCACAGAAGAGAAGAAAAGCAAATTAAGAAAATAGTTCCTAACTATTATAACAAAGAATGTTCTGTAGTTCATAGAAATAGTTGCAATTGTAATTCAGCACTTGTTTGTTGATTCATGTCATGCTGTATACACCATTTTCGCTTTGTGTTTTTCAAGTATTGTAGAAAAATACCATCACTTAAAAAAATGTTTAAGAGGTGAACAGTGTATTATTTTGCCACATAAATGCTCCTTGACACATTCTGTTTTAGCATATTGTAGTAAGCTTCTAGAAAAATAGTACGAACAAAGATGTACATTATTGGTGAATATACAATGGCAAATATTTACTTGGTAATTGTTTGCTCATTTTGTTATATGATCAAGTGATCTCATAAATGTTAAATGTACTAATTGTGTCAACTTGGGATTAATATCAGGCATGCTAGTGCTTAGTTAATTATTAATCTGTCAGATAGTGGTTTTGATCTTTGAACTGTTCAGAAACAATGCTATGAAATTGGTCCTTTGTCAAAAATATTGCCAACTAACCATTGCTGAAAAGGTTTTAGAATTATGGATTGAAGGACTTCTGTAAGATTAGGTTTTAAATGAAGGCCATGTCCAGTGTTGATGTACAGATAAAAAAAAATAATTAAGAAAATACCTAAGGTATAACAAAGCAGAAAGCCGGTGTTAAAATTGAGTATGGTACTTGTTGGTCTAAGGTTTCAGTTTCAATATTATTTTGTCTAAACCAGCCAAAACAATCCAGTATTTAGCAGTAAAGCCTGAAATGTAGTCTTGCCCGGTTACTGACTAATGTAATTAACCCGATTCTTTATTCATAATTAGCAATAATTGCTGTAGCATACTCATGTACCATAATGTCAAAATGTCGATTACATAATGTGTTTGATAGTGCACATGTGAATTACTTTTACAAGCCTTTTTAGCATGTTATGGACATTTTATACATGGCATGTGAAAGACACCAGAGTCTCTAGTACATTACCAATTTAAATGTTAAATGTTTATTTCACTATGTATGATCTATAATAATTCCTAACACCAAACTGACAATATTTTATTTTCCATTGCCTAGCGGTGCCACATCAGTCGTGTTTCGATGCAGACAGAAGAAAACTCAGCAGGCATTTGCTGTGAAAACTCTGAAGAAAACTGTGAGTTTTTTACTGTACTTTATTTTAAAAAGATGCATTATCTCTTGGGATAATAATAATAATAATAATCCTTGCATTTGATATAGCGCTTTTCACGTCGGGAGGACGTCCCAAAGCGCTTCACAGAACACACTGTAAAGTGAATTGACTGTATATTTGTGGGCGAACGCGGCAGCCAATTGCGCACAGCAATGTCCCACAAACAGTCGTAGATTGAAAATGACCAATTTATTATTGTTTTGTTTTGGAGGGATTATTATTAGGCTCTGTGTGGAGTAAGGAAACTTGCCCAAGGTTTCGCCCTCTGCCTGGAATTGAACTCAGGTCTCTCATTGCAAAGCGAGTGCTCTAACCACTGAGCTACAGGACTCCACAAATGGGATAATAGAGTAGGATGGTACCTATGAGAAGCAACAGAGAAGGAACAAGTCAGAAAACAAATTGGTTATTTGTTTACAGGTGCCATTATGTACCTGTGTTTGTCTTGGGTGCAGCTTGCACAGCATGCAGGAAATGAGCTGATGACCCAGAAGGCAGCTATTTTTTAGAGTAGGCAAGCTGGCTTTCCAAGGTATTCATGCAATATTCTCTTCAGTGGTAAATTGGCTTCTGGGTTTCCACATGTGTCAAACAGCTGACTGACCAAAGAGAAACATGTTGGAACATGGGTTCCTCGAATAAGACATAATTTGGGATTGTAGCTCTCAATAAAAAGTTAGTCTTTTTTTTCCTTAAATGACCTGCAGTCTTTCCACTTAAGTTCCACTTTATTTTTATCGTCATATCCTGTTTCACACACAAAGTCTCAACTTCCTTAGGCACTAGGAACTTTGTTTTCTGTGGATAGTAAAAGCTAATATTAATTTGCATGTAACAAAAAACAAAATAGATTGTTCTAAACAGCCAGGGCGTAGTAGCAGAAGATAATATTTGTGTGTAGTAGACCAGGAAAATTGAACCATTAATACCTAAACAATTAATGTTTAACAAATATCATTGTGAAAGGACAAATAATGATCTGCTTGTAGAATTCTGCAAAATCTGAAATCTGCAAAAAAATAATAATAATAACCCTTGCATTTGATATAGCGCCTTATCATGTCATTGAGAGATCTCAAAGTGTTTCACAGAATATAAGTGAATTGACTGTGTATTTTGTGGGCGAAATGCAAAAATATTTTTTTAAAACTAAAAACTTGTAAATAATTTCTGGATCAAAAGTTGTTAAAGCTTTGCAGTTTCCAGTAATTCATTTATACTTAACAAAATTGAGAACTTCCCCTCCAAATGTCAGCTCATTGTTGCTTTATAGATAATTGAAGTAGAGTTCTTCTGCTTCTTGAGGGAAAAGTCACAGCAATTGAGAAGAAATTTTGCATGACGTACATAATGTTGTTTCTATTTATGAATACTGAGTATGAGAAGGCTGAAATGAGACCAGGATTTTAAGATTCAAATCTGATATCTGGGATAAGATGATTGATTTTTTGTTTAAAATAAAGGTATACTGTAAGGACATAAGAACTTGATAGGCAAAAGAAGATCAAGGTCCATCCAGTTTGCCTCCACCATCCTGACAGTCACTTGACATATAAGAACATAAAAGACTATGTTCTTATGTAGTTTGGGACTACCCTAGTTTGGGACTATAGTATAGTATCGTAGCCAATTGTATTGATATTTTCTTATTGTTTCACAGGTAGATAAAAAAATAATTCGAACTGAAATTGGAGTACTGCTTAGACTCTCACACCCTAATATTGTAAGTATGAATTATCCTATTCTTTAGAATACCTATTCCGTTTAGCTATGACTGATGCAAAATTTGTTTTTCCCAGGAATAGTCCTGAAATGGGCTATATATTTCGAAACCTGTATTTTCTTAGGAATTGATCTATTTAAAATATGGAAATGCTATATGTGTTTGGGTTTTTAAGACAGGTATGGGCATTACCATGCTACAATTTGCTGGAAACTAATTATGAGCACCTAATCTTACATAGATCATAATCTTCGTTTTTCTGTTGTTGGAATGCATAAGGCTTCAGGTATTTGGTTCTGCCCACAGAGTGATTTGTAAGAAAAGTCACGAATTCGTATTTTACCACCTACAACAACAACAAAATTACATTTGTAGAGCGCCTTTCACATCGGGAGGATGTCCCAGAGCGCTGAACAGTCAGGTGTCGGGGCCCGAGCATGGGGTAGGAGGTGGCGGTGGTGATGGGTGAAGGCAGAGAGGTGGGAGGGAGACCAAAGGCACGGTCGAAGAGAAGGGTCTTGAGACCGGCCTTGAAGGAGGCAAGGGAGGAAGCGAGGCGAAGGGACTGTGGGATAGAGTTCCAGAGTGTGGGGGCAGAGAGGCTGAAAGCCCGGCCACCGATGGTAGGGCTGGTCGGGCGGGAGACATGGAGCAGGTTGGAGCCCGATGAATGGAGGGAGCGGGCAGGTTGGTAGGGGGTCAGCAGGTCAGAGAGTTAGGAGGGGGCAAGTCAATGGATGGCCTTAAAGGTGAGGACGAGGATCTTGAACTCGATCCTCTGGGGGATGGGGAGCCAGTGGAGTCGGGCGAGGGTGGGAGTGATGGGATCACGGAGAGTGCACGAGCTGCAGAGTTTTGGATGATCTGCAGCTTGTGAAGGGAAGAGTTGGGAAGGCCGATGAGGAGAGAGTTTCCATAATCGAGCCTTGATGTGAGGAATGCGTGGGTGAGGGTTTTGGCAGCCTGAGGGGTGAGGCAGTGGCGGAGTCTGGCATTGTTGCGGAGGTGGTGGTAGGCAATGCTGGTCATGGCGCGGATGTGGGGGAGAAAGTACAGTTCAGGGTCAAACAAGACACCCAGATTCCTGACTGGTTTAGTGAGGTTGAATGTGCAGCCGTGGAGGCTGATGCTGCCAGCGCCTGAGGTGTGGAGGCGCTGGCGCGAGTCAATCAAGAGAGCCTCAGTTTTGCTGACGTTGAGTTGGAGAAAGTTGGCTCTCGTTCAGGACTTGATGTTGGACAGGCAGTCAGTCAGGACGCCAGTGGTACTGGAGTTGAGAGTGGAGGCAGAGAGGTGTCATCCGCATACATGTGGAAATTTACCCTATGTTCTGCGGATGATGTCACCAGGGGGGAGCATGTAGAGGGTGAAGAGGAGGGGACTGAGGACAGAGCCCTGAGGAACACCACATGAGACGGTGTGGGGGCTGGAGGAAAAGCCGTTTGCCGCCGTAACACATACCAATTAGGCAACTTAGCAAGTGGAGGTTGCAGGTGAAAGCCTACATTTGATGGTGCCAAATACACAACACCATTGGCCCACTTTATTGAAATTTAGTTAGGGTGCTGGCTGAGGAAGATATAATACTGTAGTTATTCAACGTAACACGTAACAAGAAAAACATCTTTGAGAACGTTCAATGTAGAAAACCAATTTATATGTATATCCTACCATATATACTGTTATTCCTTTGTTTGGAAATAGTTAATAAACATGTCAAGTTAAATGGATAATTTAATATATGCTCTTTACCTAATCTTTTTGACAAATCATTTATTTTACAGATTAAACTGAAGGAGATCTTTGAGACTCCAATAGAGATCAACTTGATTCTGGAACTAGTCACAGGAGGAGAACTATTTGACAGGTATCTAACTTAGCTGTAATTCCTTAACCAGAATGTTAAGAATATTGCCTGTAAAATTCAGTCACAATACTTTACGGTAAATCCTGTGAAGAGGTTTGGGATGTTCTCCCGATGTAAAAGACCCTGTATCAAAAGTATCAATACAGTATTTTTCAGCATTCAGAAAATTGTGAGATTGGTTTGGTTGAAGAATGCTCTTTGGCCCATCTGATCTCATCTCTCCAAAATATCCACCTTACCATTCTCTCGTTACAGCATTAAGCTTCCATCATTTTTAAATGAGTCTGGTGTCCCAGTCTCAATCACCCTTCTGGAAACCTGTTCCAGTTATTAATTACCTCTGAGTAAAGTTTCTATGTTTTTACGTTAAAGTTTGGACTTTTACTGTATTGTATATGTTTTCATTGCTACTTATTTGAAGATGCCAATGTATTTCCTGTTGTGATATGCACATAATTTTGGAAACGTGGTTCACTTCCTTGGTAACAAATAATGTGATTATAGCCTAAGAATGACTTCTGAGGATCTGAACTCAACTGATTTAACCCAGCATCATGTTTTCCTTGTTTATTGCTGCCTCACAGTGTTTGCCATAGTGAGCAATGAATCAGCTACCACCCCTAAATCTCTTTGTTTCTCCTTGGCAAGTTCAATTCCATCCATGGAGTACTTATGTTTCCGATTCTTGAACCCTACATGTAGTACAACAACAACAACAACAAGATTTCATTTATAGAGCGCCTTTCACGACGGGAGGACGTCCCAAGGCGCTGGACAGTTGGGTCGGGACCTGAGCAGGGGGAAATGGTCAGGGTGAGGGGAGGGAAGGGAGAGAGCGAGGAGGGGGTAGATAGTCGAGAGGGGAGCTGAAGGCACAGTCGAAGAGAAAGGTCTTGAGACCGGCCTTGAAGGAGGAAAGGGAGGAAGCGGCGAAGGCACTGGGGGATGGAGTTCCATAGCCTGGGGGCTGAGAGGCTGAAGGCCCGGCCACCGATGGTAGGGCGGTTAGGGCGGGGGATGTGGAGCAGACCGGAGCCAGAGGAACGGAGGGTACGGGCAGGTAAGTAGGGGGATAGTAAGTCGGAGAGGTAGGAGGGAGCAAGGCCGTGAATGGCCTTGTAGGTGAGGATCTTGAATTCGATCCTCTGGGGGATGGGGAGCCAGTGGAGGTGAGCGAGGGTGGGAGTGATGTGGTCGCGAAGCCTGGTGCGGGACAGTACACGAGCTGCAGAGTTCTGAATGACCTGCAGCTTGTGGAGGGAGGTGCCGGGAAGGCCGGCGAGGAGAGAGTTCCCATAGTCCAGCCTTGAGGTGATAAAGGCGTGGACCAGAGTTTCAGCAGCGTGAGGGGTGAGGTAGTGTCGTAGTCTGGCGATATTCCGGAGGTGATGGAAGGCGGTGCCAGTTGTGGCGCGGATATGAGGAAGAAAGGACAGCTTTGGGATTACATTTGTAGAAGTGCCTCATTCTGTCATCCAGTAATCATTTATTCACAAGTATAAATGACCTTATACTGTAAAAAGTCTTGTTCACTTGCTTTAAATAACCTCTTTCACGTTGTTTTTGTAGGATTGTTGAGAAGGGATATTATAGTGAAAGGGATGCTGCTGATGCTGTCAAACAAATCCTGGAGGCAGTTGCAGTAAGTTTTAATTGTCATTCGTTTTAACATCAGTTTTTCTTGGACAGTCTAATTTTGACCTTTTATAGTTTCAGAAGGGTTAAGAAATAGGTTTGCAAAATAAATTGTTTGAATTGTTTATGAATTAAAGATCCTTTCTCCTGATCCAAAAAAAAGGAAAATCTTTTAAATGGCGCATAAATATAAGCAGACTATTTGACTCGTGAGACAAACAATTGAGTGCACAGAATTAAAATACAATAGAACCCCAAAGGCGTTATACAAATGTAATTTTGTATTGTATTTTCATATGGGTTTGCTTATAGCACAATTCGGTTGTGGATTCTTAACATTTACGTAGCAAAAAATCCCGAATGTGTGCAGAAAATTGTTCAACTTACCTGCTGAAAAATGGTTGATGTTGCATCCTCTGCATTGCACATATGCAGCATACAAGAAGTGACATCAGCAGCACTCTGATGTCCTAGAAATTATCTACTTTTTGGAGCATGAAAACTTGGCCATGATTTTGAAGCGAACTGGCTTTCTGCACACATACGATGAACAGTTTATGTGGAACATGTATCAAAAAGTATGTACGGCTGTTTTGATTAGTTTTTTTAAAAAATGACTGGGTTACTGCTTGGGAATGCTATTGAGGATATATAGTTAGCTGAGATGAACCATTGGACACAATGATTTTTGTGCTGATGGGGATGGGCAATGGCAGCCCACCCTGTCCTTTGAGTAAAAATTGCCCAAACAAAATTGGATTACTCATGGGTACCTAACACAGGAGCTAAAGCTGGAAGTTTTATTGCTCGAGCTGGAAATTGTTGCCAGGAGATCCTTCAATGTGATCATAGTACAAGTCTTTGTACATAAAGGTGTCAAGAATTAAACATTGAGCTTGGGGCCAGTATCAAGGGGAAGATGTGACTCACTATTGGATTACAACTTTCCGGGAGGGGGAAAAAGTGTGTATTATACAAACAAGCACCAATGGTTCATAATATTCCAACCAACCAACAGAGCACTATTTCCAGGTAATGCATCTGCATTGTAACATTACCACCACCACCACCACCCACAACAAAATCACATTTATGGAGCGCCTGTCATGTTGGGAGGACGTCCCAAAGCACTGAACAGTTGGGTGTCGGGGCCCGAGCATGGGGGAGGGGTGATGTAGGGTTGAGGGAAGGCAGAGAAGTGGGAGGGAGACCAAAGGCATGGTCGAAGAGAAGGGTCTTGAGACCGGCCTTGAAGGAGGCAAGGGAGGAAGCGAGGCGAAGGCACGTGGGATGGAGTTCCAGAGTGTGGGGGCAGAGAGGCTGAAAGCCCGGCCACCGATGGTAGGGTGGGTCGGGCGGGAGACATGGAGCAGACCGGAGCCCGATGAACGGAGGGAGAGGGCAGGTTGGTAGTGAGTCAGCAGGTCAGAGAGGTAGGAGGGGGCAAGGCCATGGATGACTGACATCACTACACAAATGCAAAGAAAACTGGTTCGTTTTCCGTGCACTAGAAAATGGCCAGCATCCAGGTCATCAAGTTGGCATCCCGTGTGCTGCATTTGTGCAGGAAGTTGCTGGTGCACAGATCAGCTCTGTGGGTTGGTGTATAGCTGTGGGTCCATGCCTCTGGCACCTGTCTTATTAGTAAACGCTGCATTATAATGAAGTGTATTATGACTGGGCTCCCAGCAAATTACTGCCAATTTCCAATTTGATCCATTGCACAACTAATTATGGTCCAAGTGTCCTAATTACTCATAAGTTTACTAATTTTCAGCTCTTTAGCCATCCTGCCTTCTTCCATTTCACTACTTTATTGTACTTTTTTTTCAGTCATGACTCACTCCTTTGGGGTTTCCTCGACTCTTATCAAAAGGACAGTCGTGTGAGCTGTCCCCAGAATTCTGCCATTGCCTGTCTAATGAACTATTGCAACTTGCCCTCCATTTCAACCTCCCTCAGGTTTTTTATTGTCTCCCAGGAGCAGTGCCTCAACTCAGCTCCACTTCTTTTTCTGGGGCAGAGCTGAGATTTACCAAACAGCACAGTATATAAATAAATTACTATGAAGACCATCCCTATGAAGGTGGAATTCTAAAATCAAAAAAGTGAATAATCTGGATTCCAGAAAGGAAGAAAGGGAATATATGCTGCAGTATTTTCAGCCAATTACTTGTAAATTGAGTTATGCGAGCAAGGCAAAAGTAATGACTTGTGTGCTGTCCTGCCGACCACATAAGGGAAGCAATGGATAATGAAGGTTGAAACATAAATTTAGGTTTACATTATTTACAAATCATTAAATCAGGAAGGGACAGCAAGGTCTCTTGAGTCTTTCTATATGATAAATTGTTTCCATGGACACATTGAAAGTTTTAAGTTTCACATTACACAATTTCCTGACTGATATAATTGTCCAGTATTGTTTATCTCCTAGGGCTGAAGCCAGCCATCTGACTTGCTTCAATTGCACAGGCTGACTTCTAACATTTACAACATACGCACAGGCCAGCACTTAAGTGAGCAAAGCTATGTTTAATTAATGTTTGTATCAGTTTGTTTGTCATTGGGAAATTATATTATAAACATAATGTTTGAACTTCCTGATGGTAAGGGTAACATCACTTAATATGAACGTCATGATGGTATCAAGATATCAGCTGGGGCAGAATTTACTGCAAGACAATTAATCAGTATTTCTGAATTAATGAAGTGAAAATCACCCAAGGTTCTCCTGATTGCTATCCAGATTGTAAAAATACATGTGTGGACATCATGTGAGGATATGAACAGGCTTGGCTACCGTATCCCTCAATTGAAGAGCATGCCAACTTTCACTGTCAAAATTCACACAAGACTAGCTACTTTGGGAGCCAATTAGGGGAACCCAGTAAAAGGAAAGGATTTCAAATCCCTTCAGGGGAGGGGAGATATTAGCAGAGAGGAAAAAAAGTATATTTTATGCTTGTGCATCTCAAGGAATCAGAAGTCAAATACTTTTGCTTTATTTGAGCCTTATTTGTAAATTAAAGTTCTGTATAATCGAATATATATGGAAATTATAATCTAAACTGGTAAATTTGTGGGGGGAATTGAATTCTTTCTTGAATTGAAATTGAATTAATTTTAATTCCATTTAAAGCCACAGGCTTAGCTAGATAATATTTGTTTGATTACTGTTTGGGGACATGAACTATTTATGCAGAATGTTACCCTCAGGAATTAAATAAATGAGGTAGAGTACATGATTGAGTAGATAGGGATGCTTAATCATGTTCAATAAAAAACATTGGAAGTGATGATCTGAAGATTGCTTAATTACATGTTTTCTTAAAAACACTGTCTTGATTCACTAATATTGAAATACAGTACTAAACAACAGGGATTGAAAAAGCACTCCGCCCAAAAATGGCAGCATGATGATGCTTGAGCGAGCGAGAAAAAGTGCTTCAGGACATAAAGTCCATGCCCTCCTCTGTACATTTTCCAGTAGTAATTCCTTCAAAATAAAATAATAAATTGGTCACTTCAATCCACAACAAATTCAGCTCTGGCCAGATCACCTGGGAGCTGAGTTCTCGTAAATTGGAGTTAGTTATATTTGCTTCCCTGGAGGAGAATCGTCTTGCACTGGAGGCACTTTCTATAGTGCAAGGCATTTATACTGAAGTTTTCCCTTGAGCACTTCAATCCCTTTGGCAATCCCAATTAATGATGCAAACAACTTGCACTGGAAAGTATTTTAAATTTTTTATATGAATGTTTATAACGATCATCTAAATCAACTGCAGCGTCAACCCTACTATCCAAAGGAAATAATTTGACAGTAGTTACAATGTTAGGATGAATCAAACAATGTAGAAGCATAAAATTAACACTATTTTTGTTACAGACGTTGTTTACATATAAAAAAAAGTTGGATTTTTCCCCTTCTGATAGGAATAAAGTGTTTCAGTTGGCTGCAGCGTGTTTCTAATTTGCCAGGTTATAGTGTACATTGATATATTAACTGGAACTAATCGTAGAAGAATCACATTGCTTTGGTCAAATAATGATTTATTTCGATTCACTTATTTTGGTAATTCATGTGATAGGTAAAGCTCAGTTTCTGAGATTTGTACAATAAAGTGTAAAACAGGTCACTTATAGAGTTCAAAGGGAACAAGGATGCCCTTAATAATATTTTTTGTTTGTCCAAAAGATATTCAGCAGGATATGATCATAAAATACATGTTAATATTGATTTCAATAAATAAAAGCTTGCACTGTATTCTGCTACTGTTTATAACCAATTGCTTTACAGAAAACTGAGATTTAGATTACAGAACACTGCATGACCTGTGTGAGAACTCAGATACGGAAATGAATTGGGGTTTTGATATTGATGATAATGTTTAGCTGTAACAAGGTTCATGATTTTGCCCGCAACCCACAGAGAGAGTTAAAGAGGCTGAAAGAGATATCAATAAGCGTCACAGAGACCTCACATCCATTCTGTTTTCATATCAATAATGAGGCTGGTTCCAATTAGTACAGATATTTGACATATATCTTGCCAAGTGGAAGGAGAAAGAGATTAGGGTTGTTGTCAAGACATAAGGGCTCTTCCCAGGCCTAAGGGCCAGTGTAGAGGAGAGCAACCAGTGTTAAGAGCTAGGGTTCTTCAGCGTAACATGGGCATCACAGAGCGGGTGTAGATAGTATTGGAGAGCCAAAGTTGTGCTTCATTTTGGAGCCAATAACATAAGGAAGAGTAGTTTTCACGTCCTGCAAAGAATTTTCAGAATCATAGAAATTTACAGCATAGTAGGCCATTCAGCTGATTGATTCTTTGAAGAGCAATCCTTTCAATCCCATTTATCTGTTCTTCCCCATACCCCTGTAGTTTATTCTTTTTTTTAGATGTTTTCTAGTTATGCATATGAAAGTTAATATGGATTCTGTCTCAACCACTGGCAGACATTACATATCTTAACTACTCTATGTGTGAAAAAAATCTCCAAAATT